CAGGGCTGGCTCCACCCCGCCTGTCTCTCCCTTCCACAGCTGTTTATCCTGGTGAAAATGAACATTAAGAGCAGTCCCCAACTGGAAAGACACCAAGGGCCCCTCTGGTGGCTCTGGCTGTGTGTATATGAGCTAGAATTGGCAGCTCCTCCTTCCCCTCCTTCTCCAGCAGTTCACTCCTCATGGGCAAGGGCTCCCACCCCAAGTCCCCAGGCCCCTAGGGGCCATCTTTCAATGCAATAATGGGGGCCCAGAGCGATTAGCAATATTTCAGAAAGCTTAAGGGAGATCATACATCTCCCCATGACAGGTCTGGCAGGCTAAATGAAATGCCATTTCTCTGCTTTTGGCTGGAATTCCGTCAGCTCAATCTGGCCACCCTGCTTATCTTGGGCTGATCAGGAGACTTGATTGGATCTTACGCGCATCCTTGACAAATCAAGATGAATTATTACTTAATAAATGCAATCGGTTTGGCAAGTACAACCTTTCAAAGCATGGCTCTGTGGGGAGAAGAAACTAACATGAGGGGTTGTTGGTGGCACAGAGATGGGGAGCTGCTGGCTCAACCGAGGAAACAGAAAATGGTGGCTGTGGGACATGCAGCATCTCAGCCTGAGTCTGGGGACTTGACACGGAGCGAAGTCCTCTCCTAGCTTGAACAGATGCTGTGAGCTGGAACATTGATTCCATCCAGGGAAAATGGCAGGAGCTGGAGATCTGGCATGGTAGCAGTGTGGCATGGGAATAGTGTCGAGATTTTAGACAACCTCTTTCACCCCGAATCTTGGTCTCTTAAAAAGGTACAATGAAACCTAGTCTTTTGACCTCCCAGGAGTGTTACAAGGAATCCTTAACAACAGCCACCACAGGGGCACCTCCTGAGAGGGCACTATGTTCTGAGCATAGTTTGAATCCTGACTCTACGTCTTATTAGCCAGGTAGCTGTAAGTAAGTTAAACCTCGATGAGTCTCAGTTCCTCATCTGCAAAATGGGATCATAACCGTAGCTTCCTACAGGGCTGTTAGTAAGGATGGCAGCTCTTTTTACTGAGGTGTGGTTAATCTTAATGATTTAATTTGGGGCTGATTATAATTTCCTGGGATTCAGAGATTAGTGGGGTTGGGGTAAGCATCAGAGGCAGGAACCACAGCATGTCAGAAAATCGTGGAGAGAGAAGGGTCTCCTTCACGTTGAATGCAGTCCCGTATTCACAAGTTTGGTGCCACTACAGGAAGTGGACACATACTGGGACAGACATCCCCATCTCTTCCCCCTTTTCCTGCCTCAGCTTCTCTTAGAGTGTTTCTGCTCTTTCTCTTCCACCCTGGAATCTTTCTGGGAAGCGAGTGATGAGAGGTGGTGGGCCCGTCAGGCCAGCACACCCTGGCTGCCCCTCCGTGGTGTGTCTTGAAGTCCATCTCTGCTTCAGCAAACATTAGTCACAGGAGCATTCCTTGTTCTCCTGCCCTTGGCTCATGGGCCTGAATCACACTGAGTTACACTGTGGGAAAGAACCCTGCTGGTCTGACCAATGCCAAGTTGTGAACCTGGGTCCTTGGGACCCTTTGGAACCACTCAAACTCCAGCCCAGTGTCCCTTTGGGACACCCCAGATGTCCCACCAGCTCTTTAGGAGGCTGCACTAATTTGGTGTTTCCAGTTTCCGTCACTCTTTGTTGTTTTCCCCATCCACATGTTGTTGTTAGTTGCTGTCGATTATGACTCATGGCGGCCCCATGTCTGCAGAGTGAAACTGACGGTTTTTAAGGCTGTGACCTTTTGGAAGCAAGCCTGTCTTTTGAGGCATCTCTGATGGGTTTGAACAGCCAGCCTTTAGGCTAGCAGTCCAATGCTTTACCACATATTCCTGTACTACTAATTGTGGAATGCTTTTCTAGTCAACCCTTTCCCTCTTAAATGACTTAAATGCATTTATTTTAAAAGGAAACATGTTATCTCCACTGGAAAGCCTGTCTCTCTAGCCACAAAATGGAAGGTAAAGATAAATTCAGTGAAAACAAAACAAAATCACTAAATTCTAGCTTGATACCCTTGCCTGCCAATGGTTCTGAGCCTGACACCTACTCTTTCTCCCCCTGTAAAAAGTACCAAAAACGAGACTCTCTCCTCGTAGTCAAAAGGAGTGGATGAGAATTGCAAAGGGTGTGGCTTGGATGGGATGCTAAGACCTTAGTGAAGGAAACCATCTTGCCTGGGCCTTCCACACCCTGGGAAATGCTACATCAGTTCACCTGTCAGTCGGTATTTGCTGAATGCTCACTACGTGCCCACCATGTCCCTGCAAGTATGTGGGGAAGAGGGGTCTTTGTCCTACAGGAGATTTTTCTCATTTTGAAACACGCTTGTATAAGATAACTAATAAACGAGACTATGTAGTGAGAGAGTACTGAATTGCCTGGGAGGTGGAACAAATGCCATTGCTGTTTGTAGAAGAGAGAAATCTGTATGGGTGGGTGGGGATCTAAGGATGGCTTCCTGAAGGCAGTGAGCCCTGAGTCAAGCCTTGAAGTATAAGCAAAAGGCTTGTACATTTGTGTCTGTGACCTGAGTCTCTGAGGTCCTGAGTCTCGCTCCTCACCAGTCTTTTCCCCAGTTGGGGAATCAGTATCTTGGGAAAGAGAGTAGTTGTGTAAGGGATAGGCTCTGGAATCAGACAGACCTAAATTTGGAGCAAGCTCAAGACTTAATGTTGTGGTCTCAGGCAAGTCACTGCATTTTCTGACCCTCAGTTTCCCTTTTTATAAAATGGGGAGTGATGGTCCTTACCTTAGAAGGGCTGTTATGACGATGAAGTGAGGCAGTGGTTGTAGAGTTAGCTGCCATCATTGAGTGGTGGGTAGAGGAGGTTCATAACATTTGCCCGGGGCTGAGTTCATGTTTGCAGGAGGGAGAGAGGAAAGCAGAAAGTGGGGAGAGTCTCTGGGATTCCTTTCTGATCACTCAAATCCATGTGCAGGGCATCTTGGCCTGGCCAGTCCCACAGTTTCCATCCTTGAGCCCACCACCACCCTGTGAACCTGTAAGACCTGGACTAAGGATTTGCAGACTCATAAGATTCTGCTTTAGGCTCTTGGAGAATTCTGTTCACGTTTATTCATCCATCCATCCATTCCCCACCCAAGCGTTGGTTGTTTACTAAATGGAACTTGATTCTAGCAGCTGGGATTCAGTGATCAGCAAAATAGAGCAAGTATGGTCTGTAAGTTGTACCTCAGTAGAGCTGTTTAACAAAATAGAGCTAGTCCCTGCCATCTTGGGAGGTTGTGAGACTGGGCTAGATGGTCATTAATTAAACAAATACACAAATAGTGTGCCAGTGCTATGAAAGAAAAGTACAGCATCCTATGGAAGTGTGTGGTAGGAGTACCTTATCTTGTCTGGGATATGGGAAAAGGCTTTCTGGAGAGGTGATGCTGAGCTGGGAGCTGAAGGAATCATGGGATTGAGCCAGGTAAAGATGCTCCTGGCAGAGGAAATAGCACATGCAAAGGCCCTGAGGTAGGAAGGCACAGGGATCATTGGAGAAGCAGAAAGATAGTGAATGTGGCTAGAGTGTCACTGTGGTATGAGATGAGACTGAGGAGGGAGGCTGTGCCAGGTAGGTTGAGGAAAGGAATTGGGTCTTCATCCTAAGATCCTAATTTTGTGTTCCCCACCCTGTGGGTCCCGGCTTTTCTCCTCTGCCTGGGATATGTTTTTTGGTGACCATGGGGTCCAGTGGAGGCTGAGAGGAATGCCAAGGGCAGCATGTGTCCCTGGGCATCAGCTTTCTGGGTTGAGCCTCTTTGTCCTGTGGAGACCCTTTGACATAACATCTCTGGGCCAGGGCTGGCTCTATTCAGCCGCTGTTCCCTAGCTGGGAAGAAGCTTTTAGCTTTAATAAAAAGGGAGTAGAGATAAGCAGACTGCCTCGGTGGGGGAGAGCAGCAGTGACAGGATGATTTAAATGGCTTCTCCAGTGTCATTTCTTCTGTGCAGACATCATAAATCAGATTAGCGCTGGGCTCTGGTGGGAGGGGGATAGGAAGAGAGACCTGGAAGGAGAGGGGAGAAGGGCCTGGGACTGGCCTGAGTCTGCGGGGCAACCCCAAAGGGTGGGTCTGGGGTGTCATCTATGCCTGATACTCAGCCCCCAGCCATGTTCTTTGGAGAAGAGGTAGGTGGAGTGACTCCCTCAACCCACCTTTTTGGCCCTTTGCCAGCTTTGGGGTAGAAACAAAGAGGGACTGCTAAGACAGTAGGGAAGAGAGAAAATGGGAAAGAATGGAGCAGCGGATTTAAGAGGCGGGGGGTTACAGCCACTGGAAAAACCACCTTGTTGTTATTGCTGCCTTTGAGTCAGCCCCCAACTCATGGCAAGCCCATGCACAATGGAACAAAATGCCCGGTCCTGCGCCATCCCCGTGATCAGTTGTGGATTAGACAGTGTTCTGTTGTGCTCCGTAGGGTTTCCATTGCCTGGCTTTCAGAAGTAGATTGCCAAGCCTTTCTTCTTAGTCCATCTTAGTCTGGAAGCTCCACTGAAACCTGTTCGGTATCGTAGCAACACACAAGCCTCCACTGACAGATGAGTGGTGGCTGTGCATGAGGTGCACTGGCCGGGAATCAAACCTGGGTCTCCCTCATAGAAGGCAAGAATTCTGCCACTGAACCACCACTGCCTCACGTCTTACTGGGCATTAAAATCACTTTGGAAACTTTAAAAAAATACTGATGCCTGGGTTCTACCCCTGGCATTTCTGAGTTCCGGGTGATTCAATGTACAGCTAAAGTCAAGAAGCATTGGATTAGAGCTTAGCTTCTCTCTTAAACTTGAGAGCTACACAGTCTTAAACCATCACTTCCACCATGGCTGCTCAGGCCCACCGGTCCCTCTGGGCTTCCTGAAAGTGACCGGATTGAGGGACTAGCGTAGAAGTCCTGCCTCTGGGACAAGTGTAAATGGAGCAGCACTCCCACCCACCTTTCCTTTTCAGGTCTCACGCCACCTGGGCAAGATATACAGTGAGATGATCTTTGTCAACGGCTTTGTACACTGTGATCCCCACCCGGGCAATGTGCTGGTGCGGAAGCACCCGGGCACGGGGAAGGCAGAGGTTATCTTGTTGGACCATGGACTCTACCAGGTAGGGGGGGCTCTGGTCCTGCCTGGGGCCAGAGCCCGCTGCCTTCTTATATAGGCTACAGAAATGCAGGCCGAGAGCTAAGCGCTGGAGCGGGCCCTCCCCTACCCTAGTAGGGTATTTGTGTGCAAGTCGCAGACATAAGGGCTCAGTTTCCTCCTCAATACAGTGAGGCTTGTTTTTTATTTTACCGCCATTGTGAGGATTCGGTGGAAATGTGTATATATGAAAGCGCTTGGTAAGCTGTAAGAGAACGTGCCTTCCTAGGAAACCCTGGGAAGTAAACTGCCCTGATGTGAGCTGGGGTTTCAGAGGGAGGTGGTAACTGCGTGTTCCACCCCAGTGAGGATGTGCTATGTAGTGGGCCAGGGGGTGGGTAACTGGTAGGGGCTACATGGCCTCAGACTGTCCTCTGGAATTCAGGATGCAGAGCTGGTTTGAATAAGCCATGAGCTCCTACCTGGAAATTGTGACGTTCCCTGCCTATTCCAGGGGCCCAGAGCCTGACTTGATTTCATGAAGCATGTGATCCTGGGAGGTTTCCCCAGTTCCCCAGTGGTCTCCTGATCCTCCCCTCAGGACCCTGATCTCATATCCCAAAATGCTGGCCTCCGGTAAAAGATTCAGTGAAGAAGGATGCATTAGTTTAGAGTAGGCTAGCTGCTGTCCCATAGCGCCAAAATGCACGCTGGGCCAAACACGATAGAAGTTTAATTTCTTGCTCACGTACCAATCCTGGGCAGGCGAAGGATTCTGCAGGCAGCCCTTCTTCTAGGCTCCAGGCCGAGTGGGGCTCTGCTTCCCAGGCCTCCTTGGAGGTTATCGTGCTGTCAGCTGGCAGTGAGGGTCAGGACATGGGAACATGCATGGGAAAGTTTTCATGGGCCGGGCCTGGAAGTGGAGCTTCTGCCACTTTCCACCAGTTGGAGCTCAGTCACATGCAGGGAGGCTAGAAACGTAGCCTGTGCCTGGGAAGAAGAGGAGAAGGTAGATTGTGGTGGGCAGTTAGCAGTCTCTCCAGTCTGGACCAAGGTTACCAAACTGGAGCTTTGACCTTGGGCCTGCAGGGTTGGCTGAACTTGTAGAGAGAAGCAGACATCATGCAGGAACCATTGCCCTTATCTGTGCCCCTTTGTGGTGGTCAGCACCAGCCAGGGACTTGGGGCCTGCGCGGTGAGGACCTCACGAGGACAGGAGGCTCAGCTCCTGCCACTGCTGCCCCCACCTTAGGTGCTCACGGAAGAGTTCCGCCTGGATTACTGCCACCTCTGGCAGTCTCTGATCTGGAGGGACATGAAGAAGGTGAAGAAGTACAGCCAGCGCCTGGGAGCCGGCGAGCTCTACCCCTTGTTTGCCTGCATGCTGACGGCCCGGTCATGGAACTCCGTCAACAGGGGCATCAGCCAAGCTCCAGTCACTGCTGCTGAGGTAGGTGGCCCCCTCCTGGCCCTGTCATTTCCTGAACGCAAGGGGAAGGACCAGGGGTAGCCTTGAGACCCCTTCTAACCAAGGTCTCAGATTCTAGACTGGAGGGCTGTGTCTGTGTGTGTGTGTGTGTGTGTGTGTGTGTGTGTGTGTGTGAATGTGTGTGCACGCATGTGCATGTCAGAATTAGGGGAGTGTTAAATGAGAAGAAGGGGGCAGGAGGAGAAACAGTTCTCCTGAACAGAAGACAGGAAAGGACAAGATATCCCACTGTATGCTCTTCAGGCCTTACCAGCCTGGACATATAAACAGGGCAATGTTAACTGTAGTAACCCAGACCTCTGTGGCTTTAGCTCCAACTGCTCATGCAAGATTTCAGGCTCTGCCAAGTTCTCTCAGGACTTCTGGGAATGCCCAGGGACTGTCTCATGGGTGTTCATGAATACATCCGGCCCCACCTTTGCTGTGTGCTGGCACCCAGCATGGCTTCTCTGAGGTACCATATGGGGGAAAGTGCTTCGCTTACTCTTCTGAGGTACCCAAGCAGTGCTGCTTGTCCCATTGTCCTGCAGAGTTTTTAGTAAAACAGCTTTTTTTGTTCTCTGTTTGTAGCTCATTTCTCCATTGGACCTAGACAAGAGTTCCATGGAGACTGGGCTGGGAAACAGATCCTAGGAACATCTCTTCCTCATGCTCATTGTCACCTGTGCCCATGAGAGAAGTTTACTGGGTGCCTTAGTTATCTAGTTCTGCTGTAACAGAAATACCACCAGTGGATGGCTTTAGCAAACAGAAATTTATTTTCTTATACTTGAGGAGGCTAGAAGTCTGCATTCAGGGCCCAGCTCCAGGGGAAGGCTTTCTGTCTCTGTCGGCTCTGGGAGAAGGCCCTTGTCATTAATCTTCCCTAGTCTAGGAGCTTCTCAGCGCAGGGACCCTCTGTCCATGTGCTCTGCTCCCAGTGCCTCTTTCTTGGTGGCATGAGTTCCCATCTCTCTGCTCGCTTCTTTTTCCCTTTATCTCTTGTAAGATAAAAGGTGATGCAGGCCACACCCCAGGGGAACTCCCCTGACATTGGTTCAGGGCTGTGACCTTAGTAAGGGTATTGCATCCCACCCTAAACTTCTTTAGCATAACCTAATCTTGCCTCATTAACCACAGGCAGAGATTAGGATTTATAACACATAGGAAAATTACATCAGATCACAAAAATGGAGGACAACCACACAATACTGGGATTCATGGCCTAGGCAAGTTGACATATATTTTGGGGGGACACAATTCTATCTATCCAAAACACCGGCGCAAGCTCATTCTTCCTACTCAGCATGTGCTCCTCCCAGGAGGTCTCTCACTTCTCATGGAATTGACTTCTGTCTTCCCATTCTATCAGTTTTGGAGACCCATCCAGATCTGCTTGAATCCATGTGGTAGATGGGCTCGCTGAGGCCCCTGCTCACCATAAGGACAGGGTCCTACTCTTGCAGTAAGAAGGACGTGGGTTCTAGTTCCAGCACCTCTTCTTCCTGGGGGTGTGACCTTGGGTGGTTCCCTTCACCTCTTTGAGCCTCATGGCCCTCATCTATAAGCTGATACGTGGTAGGTGGCTTTAGGAATGGCGGGATGCAAAGTCTCAAACAATGTCATCAAGAGGCCATCTCTCTCCATCTCTTGGCTCTGCTTTCCTCCTAGTTGACATCAGTCTTCAGCCATCTTGGTGGCACCAATGACCACCAGCAGCCCCAGGCTTAAAAACCAAAAAACCAGTTGCTTTTGAGTCATTTCCAACTCATGGCGACCTCGTGTGTCAGAGTAGAACTATGCTCCATAGGGTTTTCAATGGCTGATTTTTTGGAAGTAGATCACCAGACCTTTCTTTCAAGGGGCCTTTTGGTTCGTAGCTGAGTACATTAACTGTTTGCACCACTCAGCAACTCCAGCACCAGAGTTACATAGCATTAAAGCTCATCATCTCAGAAGAGAGACAGTCTTCTTCCTTTGTGGAATAGGGATGATATGGATGATAATTTCCACTTTATTGATAATATATGTAAAGTGCCTGAAGTTCATCCATTCAACAGACATTTGTTTTGCCAGACTCTCTGCTAGGTGCTGAGGATGCAATGATGAACAGACAGGGCTTCATGTAACTTACTCCTTGGTTGAGAGAGACAGTAAGCAAGTGAACAAACAGGTGAATGAATAATTATAGGTTATAGTTGCCATGAAGGAGGGAAGCCGGGTGCTGTGATTTGAGTAATGGTGGGGGTGGGTGGAGGGTGCTGTAGGTAGTGTGCTCAGAGAAAACCTTAATGAGGAGTTGACTTCTAAGCTGAGGCCCGAAGGACAAGTGTCAGATGGCGGTGGTGGGCGGGGGAGCTCCCCAGGGGAAATCTGAAAGCGACTGTCGTGTGCAGAAGGTAGGGACAGACGGAAGAAAGAGGCAGACCACTCCAGCTTGAAAAAGTGGTCTAAGACTTATTATGGGGAAAACTTACGTACAAGGCGAGGTCCTGGGCAGCAAAGGATGGGTAGATCTTAGTGCTGCTGCCCCGGCTCCAGAGATTATGTAGAGGGGCTAATGTGGGTTTGCCTTGCAGCCCCCCTTCTTTCAAGTCCAAAATGTATCCAGATGTTATCATTTGGATCCAGATTCCTTCAAGGATGTTGTGTTTCCTGCTTCAAGGGTATTGTATTCCTTGGCGTCTTATTCATTTCTGGGAATGGGGATGTTTGCCAGGACTGTGGTCAGCTTCAGGACTGGAGGCAACTCGCAGGTCCTGGATTGGTCACATCCTCATTTGTCTTTCCAACAAGACAGGCTGCAGCCAAGGGAAGAGATTGGAGAAAGCATAGCAGGCGGAGGACACACCTGTGCTAAGGCCTAGCGGGAGGAAAGAGCTTGGTATGGTCTGGAGTGTGGTGTGGGCGATGGTGGGATGAGAGGAATTTGGAGCGCTGGGCATGAGAGCGTCACACAAGGCCTTATAAGCCATGGGAAGAAGTTCAGATTCATTCTGAGTACAAAGCAGAACCTTCAGCAGGCTTTAAGCAGGAGAATGACTTGTTCAGATTTGCTATTTTTAAATTTCTGTCTAGAGAGGTGCACAGTGAGCAATGGGGCAACCCGTTAGTAGGCTGGGGACTGGGGTAGGACCCAGGTCGAGCAGTGATGGGGGTCAAGCACTGGCAGCAATGAAGATGAAGAGAAGTAGATGAAGCCAAGATGTATTTTGGAGGTAAAATTGAGAGGACTTTTTGTTGTATTAAGGAGCCCTCATGGCGCAGTGTTAAGTGCTCAGGTGCTAACTGAAAGGTCATCGGTTGGAACCACCAGCCCTCTACAGGAGAAAGATGTGGCAGCCTGCTTCCGTAAAAATTACAGCCTTGGAAACCCTATGGGGCAGTTCTGCTCTGTCTTATAGAGTCACTATGAGTAGGAATCGAGTGTCAACTGGTTTGGATTTTTGTTTTTTTCTGTTCAATTAGATGTGGAGAGGAGGAAAAGGGAAGATTCAGAGTTGCATCATAGGATTTTGAGAAGAGTTGTAGGGTAGCTCCAGTTGTGAGGATTTTTGTTTTCTTTATGTAGAGGTGTAATACATACTGAAGGCTGTGGTCTTTGATCTTCTTCACTAAGTCCTTCAAGTACTCTTCACTTTCAGCAAGCAAGGTTGTGTCATCTGCATAACACAGGTTGTTAATGAGTCTTCCACCAATCCTGATGCCCCCGTTCTTCTTCATATAGTCCTCACAACTGCACCAGTAAGCAGCATCATGATTAACAGAGAAAAGATTGAAGTTGTCAAGGATTTCAGTTTACCTGCATCCACAATCAACACCCATGGAAGCAGCAGTCAAGAAATCAAAAGACGCATTGCATTGGGCAAATCTGCTACAAAAGACCTCTTTAAAGTGTTAAAAAGCAAAGGTGTCACCTTGAAGACTGAGGTGCATCTGACTCAAGCCATGGTGTTGTTTTCAGTCGCCTCATATGCATGCGAAAGCTGGAGGATGAATAAGGAAGACCAAAGAAGAATTGACGCCTTTAAATTGTGGTGTTGGCAAAGAATATTGACTATACCATAGACTGCCAAAAAAATGAACAAATCTGCCTTGGAAGAAGAGAAGTACAACCAGAATGCTCCTTAGAAGCAAAGATGGCAAGACTGCGTCTCACATACTTTGGACCTGTTATCAGGAGGGATCAGTCCCTGGAGAAGGACATCATGCTTGGTAAAGTAAAGGGTCAGCAAAAAAGAGGAAGAGCCTCAACGAGATGGATTGACACAATGGCTGCAACAATGGGCTCAAGCATAACAACGGTTGTAAGGATGACGCAGGACTGGGCAGTGTTTCATTCTGTTGTACACAGGGTCACTATGAATCAGAATCCACTTGACAGCACCTAACAACAACATAGGGTAGGGGGTGTCACTTCCTGACATAGGGAAGATTTTGGGAAGGACATATTTAGGGTGGGAGCAGTTGTTTTGAGACATTTAGATAGGGGTGTCATGAGCAGTTGAGTCTTAGAGAAGAGGTCCAGGTTCAAGATACAAATTTGGGAGTCTTCAGCATATAGATGGGTATTTAAAGCCACAGGAAAGGATGAGATCACATGGCAGATAATAGATCTCAATAAACTATATCTGTTTTTATTAAACACGATAGAATTCTGTGTTTGGATTCTTATTCATTCATCAAGACTCAGCTTAAATGCCAGCTCTTTAAAGAAGTGTTCTCTCCTCCAGGATACCTCTCCTCATCACCCCAGTGATCTCTTACTACTTGTATCACTGATGTGGCAAGTTCCTTATACCCCCTTGCAGAGTAGTTATTTGTATACACATAACTCCCCAACTGTGTGGTGAGTGCCTGGAGGGCAGGGGCCCTGTCTTGTATATCTTTTTATCTTCCACAAGTTCCCGGCAGTCATGGGACTGGATCCGGCCAAGTAGAGGTGTTTGTGTAGGTTCTGGAGACACCGACTCTATTTGCTCACTTTGGATAAGAACCTGGTTGGAAAGTAAACTGAGTCACTCCAGGCCAGCTCAGTCTCTCAGTCTTTCTGAGCCCTGGTCTTATTGAGAATTAGGAGAACCTCCAACACTGTATCAGGGAGAATGTTTTTGGTTGCTTGTAACAACAACAAAAAACTAAAAGTGGCTTAAACAATGAACAATTTGTTCTCTCCATAACAAGAAGCCTGGAGGTAGGTGATTCTAGGTTGGTTAATTTAGAAGATTAACAAACTCAGGACTCTGGACTTACTCCTCTGTGATTTTCTTGGTTTTCCTCTCGTGATTTCAAGATGGCTGCAGCTGCTCGAAGCTTTACTGTCTTTGTTCAGTGGCATCTAGAGACAGGAATAGAGGGTTCATTTCTTCTCATACATCATTTCTTAAGGGCAAGAAAACCTTTCCCAGAAGTCCCCCAACAGACTTCTTCTTATATCTCATTGGCCAGAATTGTGTCACACGTCCATGCCTCAACCAATCACTTGGCAAGGGGAATGAGAGCTCAGAGTCAGCATTGGCTGAGCTGTATCAAGATGTCCCCCACCCTGGGGCTGGAAGGGGCTCAGCCACCCTGAAGAACATGGCCCCAAGACATCAAGTGAACAGAGCTGAGGTTCTTTTACAAAGGAGAAGCAGAATGGCTGTGGGGTAGCCACTGAACAGAGTCTACCCCAGACACCCACCATCAGGATCTGTCTAGGCTTGAAGGGGTAGCCTGGATGGGTGAAGGCCCTTTCTGTTCGAGCTGAGAGGGGCTGTCGCCAGGCCAGTTCTGACATTGCAAAGAGGTGGATCCCTTATGGTGAGCTATGCCTTGGTCTGGCCTTAGCCATCAGAGCAGGGTTACCTTGCAGCAGGGAGGCAGATGGCCTCTTGGTGTCTGGCTTCCTGTGGAGATGTTCAAGTCTGATAGCTCTTGCCTGGGGGACATTTCAAGTTTCACAGCACTCAGTTATCAGCCACATAGACATGCTCCTGGAAGGCTGAGTGCTGCTTCCACTATAGAAAGGTGGCCATAGTGGTAATGCCTTTTGGCAGCACTGGGGCCCCTCCATGAGGAACCCCAGTGGCAAATGATTAAGTACTTGGCTCGGCAGCTAACTGAAAGGTTGGTGGTTCGAACCCACCAGCTGCTCCACAGGAGAAAGATGTGGCAGCCTGCTTCCATAAAGATTACCGCCTTGGAAACCCTGTGGGGCAGTTCCCCTTTGTCCTATCAGCTGGAATTGACTGGACAGCAGTAGGTTTGGGTCCCATCAGTACGACTTTCATGGATTGAGAGCCTTTCTCCTTATCTCTTATGACCCTCTCGGTACTGCTGGGAGATGGGCAGAGAGGGTAGTATCATTCCCGGTTTTTCGGTGAGGACAATGAATCAACAAAGACTAAAGGACTTATTCAGAGTCACACAGGCCTGCTGTATCAGGTGGAGTGGCAGTAGAGCTAGGTGGTCAGGGTGTGGGCTAGGGAGCTGGACTGCCTGGATTGAAGTCCAGCCTTGCCATTTACTAGCTGTAAGTGAGAGGGAGTGGGCAGGTTACTTACCTTCTCAGTGCCGAGGTTTCCTCGTTTTAAAGTGGGAATAATCCATTCACCTCATAGGACTGGAAGGAGTAAATGAGTTGATATATGCAGGCATTCCCAGAGTGCTTGGTTTATGTAGTTAGTGCTTCCTACATGTTATCTATCATCATTATCATCATCATCATGGTCATCGTTTTTCTGGAAGGAGAGATCAGAGCTGCACTGTCATGCTCAGGATTCTGGCTGGAGGCAGTAACCTGCCCAGAGCCACACACAGGTCGGGGGCAGGGAAGGAGCAGAAGCCAGGCCCCAAACCTACACACCAGGATGGGGCAGGGCTGTGGGAATGACCAGTTTTGAGGGCTCACCCCGATGCTGCTCTGGGGGCATCAGGACCTCAGGTGTTGGGAGGGATGAGACTGGCTCCAGGCAGTGTGGGCTGCAAGACTCTGGGTATGTCTGGTGAGTCACAGTCAGGCAGGGTATGGGGCAGGACTTTGGGACTGGGGTGGGGAGGGTTCGGACCTATGGACTGACCCAGCTTGGGCTTGGCTGCAGGGGCAAGGGCCATGACTCAGCTAGTACCAGCTTCCAGGGCTCTTTCCAGGCTTGGCTGCAATAGATGGTCAGTGAATGAGCCTTGGGGAATAAGGGAAGGATAGATCCCTGGGCAGGAAAGCCAGCTAATTTCAACTTCATCAAATGGGGCTGGGGTGGAAGGGTTGGTGGGTAAGGCAGTTTCCTGCCCCAGTCAGTACTGGCTTGGGGTATTTGGGGATGGGTATTGTTGACCTTAGACATCCCTGGGTGGCGCAGATGGTTAAATGCTCGACTACTGGCAAAAGGTTAGTGGTTCGAACTCATCCAGAGGTGCCTTGGAAGACAGACCGGGCAATCTGCTTCCAAAAGGTCACAGCCTTGAAAACGCTACTGAGCTCAGTCCTACTCCGTACATACGGGTTTGCCAAGAGTCAGAATTGACTCAACAGGAACTAACAACAACAACAACAAATTGTTGACCTTGGCTGTGAGGAGCCAGGGATGAACTGCAGCAGAAATGGGGCCTGTTCCCTCTTTATGTGCTGTCCTGTGTCCAGTGAGTGGCCAGAAGCTGGAGTGCGACATTCCATCCAGAGCCTATTGTACTGGTCTTCAATTTAAAAAAAAGTTAAAGTCAGTGTCACTGAACTGTGCATGTAGAAATTTTTGAAATGGTGTATCTTTGGCTATGTGTATTTTCACCAAAAAAAAAAAGGTTGAGAAGTTAGAGGGTTGACATGTTGTGGGGTTGTTAACCAATGTCATAAAACAATATGTGTACTGCTGTTTCATGAGAAACCATTTGTTCTGTAAGCCTTCACCTGAAGTGCAATTAAAAAAAAAAAAAAGTTAAAAGAAGAGCTCTTTCCCTTTGGGGAGTGTTCCTAGTAGTGCTAAGGTAACTGCTAGCAGCCCCCTCCTGGAGTCTCCTTGCAGCTCCCCACTCCCATGGCTGCCACATCCCATACCAACCATTTATTTCTGTCTCCCCACTGCTGCTTCAGGAATCAGAAATCCGGGACAATGCGGCCAACTACCTTCCCCAGATCAGCCAGCTCCTCAGCCACGTGCCACGCCAGATGCTACTGATCTTCAAGACCAATGACCTGCTGCGTGGCATCGAGGCTGCCCTGGGAACCCGTGCTAGTGCCAGCTCCTTCCTTAACATGTCTCGCTGCTGCATCAGGGCGCTGGCCTCGTAAGTGTGGGCTCCTGTCTCTCCCTCCTCCCCCGGCTCCCAGCCTGCCCCAGGAGACCCACCCACTTCCATGTTCTCCCACCAGTCCACAGGGCCCTGCCTGAGCTTCCCAATCTCCAGCTCTCCTTGCAGGAAAAGTAGGGGCAGAGAATACCTCCAGCAAACTGCTGGTGCCTCGGGGCAGTTTTGTGGGTGGTCAGAGAACAACCTGTCTTGTGAAAAGTGGCAGAGTCCAAGACTTCACCCTCCTAGCCCAACTACCCAGCTTCCCAGGCAATTCTTACCATCAGGAAAATTTGATGTGTTTTCTAAGAGTCTCAGCCCCATCCAAGCGTCCCCTGGACTTGGGGTCAGGAACCCCTGATATGTATCCCATCTCTGACTGGTCCAGGGTCCTATAACTGCCTCCCCAGAGACTGGCCAGGAGCTAGGCCAGTGTTCTTTTCCTTGTGAGTGTAGCTGTGACTTGGGAAGGCCTGCATGAGGAGGAGCATGAATGGAGCAGACTCTTTCAATACCTCAGATCTTGTCAGATGCCTTTTTAGATGCCTGGGTACCCTTGGGGTGTTGGTGAGGAAGGGAAGTTGCTCCTTCAAGGAGATGGTGGCAAAGGAATGAGGGTTTTAGGCCCTTCTACCTAAGTGTGGTGAATACACGGAAAGGGTCATCTTCTGGCTGAACCTTATTGCCCAAAGGAAGAAGTCTAGCCCGTGGTCAACTTCCATACTAGGCAGGGAATGGATCATTCTGGAAAATTCTGTGGTGAAGGGAGAGTTGACCATATATATCATGCATTCACTATCAAATATCAGATTAGATTACTGCAGAATATACTGCACACTGAAATGGCTGAACATGATTTATTCTTCTTCTGAGGCTTCAGGAAATGAAGTCTTGAATAGGTCATCATCATAAACACCAGTTTTCATCATGTCCTTTTGCTGATGTAGAAAGGATTGAGCTGGGCTGAATTCACAGTGGCCTCTGCCTCTCAGGACCACCTGACCAGGTTTCCAAGTGATTCTCACCATCAGAAAGTTTGGCATATATTTACTTTTGGAAAAAGAGAAACATTGGAATGTTCTACTTGATGGGTCCATTAAATTATTGATCCTGTTAAACAACTGCTTTTGTTTACCCTACTCACTTGAAAAACTCTTTTGGAATATTTGAGTTCCTTTGGGCCCTGACTGGGCAGTAGGGTGATCACATAACCAAGAGCAGTCCACAGTGGGAGGGAGCTGGTCAATTGGGCAAAGCCACCATCCTCCATTTCCTAAATGATACTGAGCTAGTGTTTTTTCCTCTCGATCTCTCACTCTTTCCCTCCTTGCCTCTCCTCCAGGCACAAGAAGAAGAATACTTGCTCGTTCTTCAGAAGGACCCAGATCTCTTTCAGTGAAGCCTTCAACTTATGGCAGATCAATCTTCATGAATTCATTCTGAGTGTGAAGGGGTTGAGACTTGCCAACTGGGTCTTGGCCTTGCTTTGCTGGCTGTTTCCTGCATCACACTGAGTGGACTTGCTCTCCCCTGTCCCTTTCTGGTTTGACCCTAGGGTGGGGAAGATGTCTTTTCACTCCCCACTTCTTTGCCATGTCTCCACCCAGTTGCCCCATTTCTACCACATGGTGTTCTGAAGCCCCAGGTCACTCTCCATGACACCAGTATCCTCCACCTTTGGAATTCCTCTCCCCAGTCTGCAGTCCTTGTCTCAGGGCCCACAAGCTGTATCATGGAATAGATTTCTCTCCTTATCCAGGGAGAAGACACAGCAGTCTATTTTCCAACTCCTGGTGTGTGCCATTGGGTTGAATGTCCCCTCACTTCCGTTAACCCTTTATATTGTCAAGGTGGACCATGTATCCCACTGAGGGCACATTTAACTTGTAGGAAGTTTGATTTTTGTTGCAGGTGATCATGTCTCTGACCTCGCTAGAGAACAGGTTCCCTCTCCTTCCCATATCACTCCCGAGAGGTGTGATACTTTTGTAAGTTTCTTTGGCATTTTCAGGCAGACTCCGTTGCAGCCATGAGTTCACTGCTGACATGGTGACTTCTTGGGTGTTTTGTATCATGTACTGTGTTTCAATAAAAGAACTCTTCAGTGTTACAGGATTTGTCCATCCTAACTCACTGGTCCCCACCCCAACCCCAACCACATGCTGCATCCAGAATGTGCCTCATGGTCCTCGCCAAGGTCGTTTAATTACAGTTCCCCTTTGTTCCTGCTTCGTTGGGGTTTCCCAGGGAGGCCTAGGGGAAATTAGATCAAACCTGGGCTTGGTGGGTGGGGATTTTTACTCCAGGTTGTGAGTGAATCCACATTGGCTACTGGATGAGAATGGGCCTGGAAGCCAAGTGTTGATATGATCTTCTGCTTGGCTTCTTGTGCACTCTGGGGCCACTTCCTGCTTCTTGTAAGTTTCTCTCACCTTTCAAGACCCCAAGACCTTGGTCAGAGGAGTTAAGATGCCCAAGGCCAGGAATTCGGAGGCTCAGCCAAATCCTTGGACCTTGGTTCCCCTGGATTCTCACCTCGTTCCCGGTGGCCTCGGCACCTGCCTTGTTTTGCTAGTTACTTCCTGACTTATCCCTTTGGTTCCTTATTCGGTGAAACCCAGTTTCAGGCCAGAGATCCTTCCTGGTTCCTCAGTCCCTCTGGAGACTGTGGTTCTGTTGCTAGAACCTTGGTTGCTGTGACTAGGTTTCCATTCTGAAATCTCTGCTCACCTCTCTGGACTCTATGCTTCTGCCGTATTGCCTCCTGCCAGCACTGTCCTCTCCCGCCCGCTCCATCATTTGGTTCTGTTTCTGGAATATCTCAAAACTCCTGCTCTACCTCCTGTGTCTGTGTGATCTCCAGGCCCCCAAGACCCCAGATTTGGCAGGTCATGGCTCTCACCAATCACCAGTACTTGCAGACAGTAATTGTACATGAATCTGTCTGATCTTGGTTCACCCCATTCACAGGGCCAGAAAAACCCTGAACATGAGCCTCGTTTTCTGGTCTCATTTTTGGTAATACAAGCTGCAGATTTTCCAGTGACCAGAGAAGATTCTCAACCTTTTTACTTCCTGAAAGAATTAATTGTTCTTAGTGACCAGTTGGATCTACCCAGGGAGGACCTGAGAGAATACTTTGCAAGATCTGTTATTAATCATGAGGATGCATGCTGCATATTATATTTTATGGTATCTTTTATAGCCACTGAAGTAAATATAAATGTCCTTTCTGTTCAAGGTAATGTTTCCTTGCTTTTTCACTTTTGGTTTAATGGTTGGCTTCCTGCTGCCCTGGGATCTGAAACATTAGCATGGTGCCACTGAGCCCAGCACCCAGAACAGGGAAAGCAAAGAGGCAGGGGAATTGGGGGGACAGGGCAGTTTGAAAGGAGAGGGGTGAAGGCTGACGTTTATTGAGTGCCTTCCACATGTGAGAGGCCATGCTAGGCTCTGTAAATAGGTCACATCATTTAATTGTGCCATCAGCTCTATGAGGGAGAGACCACTAGCCTCATCTTACACAGACATGACCCAAGGCTTACTAGTTTGCCCTAGGCCACACAGTTGCTGAGTGGTGGCCCATGCTTCGTTTTTTATTCTGCAGTGCTGTAGATACGGATTATATTTGCTCCTTGGACTGTTTTATATGCCTGAGTTGGGTTGGAAAGGCCTTGATTTCAGAGGAAATTGAGTTTTTGTTTGTTTGTTTTACGCGGGGGTTGGATGAGTCAAGGAGACAGAAGTCCTAGAAAAAGTAGACTGAGTGTAGCAGTTTCCCTGGAATCTAAGACAGAATGAACCTGGACTACTCTGGTATTTCTCATCCCATGTGACTTGGGCCTGTGCCTTCTGCTTGGCTTGGTGGGCTCGTCTCTGGAGCCCAGATGCCATGGGAGGAGACTCTCCAGACTCTCATCCCATGGCTCAGAGGTAGCTCAGGTGAGTGTTTCTGTGAAAGCTTCACCCTGATCCCCTTCTCTGGCTTGTAGAACTTGCCATGAGGTTGACCACTGATACGGGCATTGTGCTTTCCTATTAACTCCACAACTTCTCTCTTGGTGCAGTGACAGGGTCTTCCAGGAAGGCGCCACTTTGAGGGGTATTTTTTCTTATTAATATTTGGATACTTATTTAATTGAGGCATTGGCTTCTTTGATTTGGGCAACATGGCTACTTTTCCCTCTTCCTTTTCTCAGGTGGAGGAGAAAAATTCTGAATCTATGGCCCATTTGGCCTAGAGCTTTTCAGGTACATGACAAGCACATAGTATGTATAGATGTCCTGCCTTCTAGTAAGTGCTCAATAAACACTCAAACATGTAGAATCTCAGAATACTTTATTTCCAGGGATGTTGAAATCTGAATAATTAAAAAGCTACACATGCCACCCACCCTCCATAGGAATGCTGCCTTGTTTAGTTGGAAGAAATCAGAATCCCTAGCTGCTCCCAGGATTAGAGATGGTCAGGGACAGCATTATAGGCTGCCCAGGGTTCTCCTGCCACAGTTTCCTTTAATGACATCTCAGAAAACATAAGTGACTCCAAGAGGCACCCACTCAGGAGCGTGGGGACTGGGGAGGGGGGTTAGAATTCAGAAAAAAAAAAAAAAACAAATCAAACCTGTTGCCCTCAAGTCGATTCCGACTCATAGTGACCCTATAGGACAGAGTAGAACTGCCCCATACAGTTTCCAAGGAGCGCCTAGTGGATTCAAACTGCTGACCTTTTGGTTAGCAGCTGAAGTCTTAACCGCTATGTCACCAGGGTTTCCAAGTGTGTGCAACTGTGAGAAGAGCCTGAAATGGAACAATACAGGGTAACATTTGGGGCTCGAGTGGTCAGGAAAGGCATAGACACGAGCAGCTAGCATCTAAGCTGGGAACTGGTGATTGGGCAAGATCTTAACGGTCAGGATAAACAAAGCCACAGAGAGTAGGATGTGCGTGGGTGTTCCTGGGAGCCTGGTCTGTGGGAAAAGTGATGTTTGTTGGGCTAGATCAGGAGGCCCCTTATTTAACCAGGGTCTTGAATGCCAGGTGACCAGATGCTACTGCTGCTTTTAACTGTGGGAGACCCAGTCTCAGGCCTTCAGTCTGCAGCAGTTTTTGTAAAAGGTTGTATGTTCAAAAAGGCTCTGCTCTTACCTCCTTCCTCCCATTACCTCTCTCCTTCTTTTCTTCCTTTTCCCTCCCTCCTTCCCTCTCTCCTTTCTTCCTTCCCTTCTCCCCTTTCTTCTCTCCGTTTTTCTCCTTTCCCTCCTTCCCTGCTCCCACCCTCTTTTCTTCTCTCCTTCCTTCCCTTCTCCCCCTTTCTTCTCTCCCTTCTTCCTTTTCTCCTTCCCTCCTCTTCCTTTCCTCTCTCCTCCCTCTCCTTTCTTCCTTCTCTCCTTGCCTCCTTCTCTCCTGCTTTCCTTCCCCCCGTTTCTTCTTTCCTTCCTCTCCCCCGCCTTCCTTCTCTCCTTCCTTCTGGTAAAGCAAAACTGCTTACAAAGCAGCACATACTGTCTTGGTCTTTCTCCTTTTCTAAAGGAAGAATGGAGTCAGCACTCAGAAGAGAGGAGTGAATTTTAAATCCTGGGCTGTGGCTTCAGTGTCCATTTCCCTGCAGTGGATGCCTCCCGTCCTGGTTTCCTTGTCTTCCCCGGGTTCCTTGGCTGCCTCAGCCCCCACCCTCAGCCAGCTCCCCTCTCAGCCAGGTCACCATGCCCTGGCCAGCACTGCTGGGCAGAGGAGGAGGCTCTCTCTGCTCACTTCTGCCTTTGGCTTGATGGTTCCAGAATTCCTTAGATTTTTCTTTTCCTGTGTAAGAAGGAAGGCCAAGCTCTTAGTGATGGTATTAAGCACCCCTAACCCCTGCCATTCAACTTCTGTTTCTTCATCCCTCCCCTTGCGCTTTCACTCTAGAGCAATGCTTCTCAAATTTTGATGTATAAACAGATAGCCTGGGGTCTTGTTAAGATGCAGATTCTGATTAGGGAGGGGTGCTAGGGAGGGACCTTTGGTTTGCGTTTCTAACAAGCTCCCAGGGGATGCTGATACTGCTGATCCAGGGACCACACATTGAGAACCACCCATCCAGATCCATCAGCATCACCTGGGAGCTTGTTAGAAATGCAGTTGCTCAGGACCCACTGCAAACCTACTTGGGGTGGGCTGAGTAATGCCCTCCCCCAAAGATGCCCACATCCTAATCCCTGAAACCTGTAGTTATGTAACCTCACATGGTAAAAGGGACTTTCCAGGTGTGATTAAGAATTTTGGGATGAGAAGATTAATCCTGGCTTTTCCAGGTGAGTCCAATGTAACCACAAGGGTCCAAATTATAAGAGGGAGGCAGCAGGATCAGAGTCAGAAGTAGATGTGACGTGGGAGGAAGAGGTTGGAGTGATGTGAAGAAGGGGCCATGAGCTAAGGAATTCAGGCAACCTTCAGAAGCTGGGAAAGGCAAGGCAAGAAATTCTCCCCTGGAGCCTCCAGAAGGAATGCATGGCTGCTGACACCTTAATTTTAGCCCTGTAAGATTCAATTCAGACTTCTGACTTCAGAACTGTAAGAGAACAAATTTGTCTTGTTCTAAGCCATGGAGTTTGTGATAATTTGTTATAGCAGCAATAAGAAACTAATACACTACTGAATCAGAAACTTTGGAGGTAAGGCCCAGCGATTTGTTTTAACAAGCCCTCCAGGAGATTCTGATGAAAGCTCAAGTTTGCTAACCACAGGTCTATGGTTCTCAACCTTATGTGCACATCAGAATCACCTGGAGAGTTTTAAATAATTCAATGTTTGGGCCCCACCCCAAGATTCTGGTTTAATTGGTTTGAATGGAGGCCAGGCATTATTTTTTTTAGGTGTGTGTGTTTTGTTTTTTTAACCTGTTATCAGCCAACATAACCATGGTACATTGTAAAAAATTTTTGTTGTTGTATTCTCAAACACAGCAAAACACACACCAATTCATCAGTTACATTCTTTGAGTTGTGCAACCATTCTCACCCTCCTTATGTGAGTTGTTCCTCCCTCGTTAACATAAACTCATTGCCCCCAAGGCACCTATCTAATCTTTTGAGTTGCTGTTGTTGATTTGAT